GATTGGCACAGGACAGAGCGGAGTTTAGGGCTGTTGTACATAGGGTCGCTATGAGTCGCAAGCGACTCGATGGCACATAACAACAACAACATGTTGTGAGGAGGGGCTAACACAGGGGGACAGACAATATGCTGGGAAAAAGACAGATGGTCAGTGAAAGAGAAGACCCTCAATGAGATGGGTTGACACAATAACTGCAAAAATGAGTTCAAAGCATGGAGGAGATAGTGCTGATGAAGCAAGTGAGGTTCACTCTGAAACATAGTCAACTTGATAGCACTTAACAAAAACAACACAAGAGAAAGTGTAGAGCAAGAACAGCAGAGTAAAAGACTAAATTTGGAAAATTATGTATTTGGTATATGAGAAGAAAATGTAAATTAATCTAGAAAGAGTAAATAATAGTCATTTACTGAAAACTTGCTGAGCACAGACTGTGTTAAGTACAGCCATCCCTCAGAGATATTGTAGGTTCCAGAGCACCATGATATATGAAATATTGCATCAAAGCAAATTACGTGAAAAAAAAATGCATTTCACTGTGTGGATCATAAATAGTGCTGATACTGAGAAGAATGGAAATCCCAGAGCACACACTTGTGCTCATGCAGAACCTATACCTGGACCAGGAGGCTGTTGTGTTAAAAGAGCACGGGAGCACTTCATGGTTCAAAATTGAAAAGGAAGTTTTTCAGGGTTGTATTCTCTCTCCATACCTTATTCAATCTGTATGCTGAGCAAACTATCCAAGAAGCTAGATTCTAGGAGGAAAAGTTGGCATCAGGATTGGAAGGAGACTCATCAATAACCTGTGTTATGCAGATTACACAACCTTGTTTGCTGAAAGTGAGGAATACACTTGTTGCAGAAGATCAAGGAATGTAGCCTTCAGTATGGATTGCATCTCAATGTCAAGAAGGCAAACATTCTTACCACTGGACCGACAGCATCATGATGAATGGAGAGGAGATTGAAACTGTCAAGAATTCATCTTGTTTGGATCTATAACACCCGTGGTACCAGCAGTCAGGAAATAAAGAGATGCCTTGCACTGGAAAAATCTGAAATTATTGAGGAGTAATGATGTCAGTTGAGGACTAAGATACATATGATTCAGGTCACGGTCTTTCTAATTACTTGCTATGTATGCATCTGAGAGCTGGATAGAAATAAGGATAGAAAGAAAAAGGAATTGAAGTCTTTGAGCTTTGATGTTGGAGAAGAGCACTGAACATTGCATGGAAAGCCCAGAGAACAAACAGATATGCCCTTGGAGAGGGTGCAGCCAGAGTACTCTTTGGAGGCAAGAATGATGAGGCTTTGCCTCACATACTTTGGGCATGTTGCTAGGAGGGGCTATTCCTTGGAGAAGAACATGATGCTGGGAAGAGTGGCGGATATGCAAAGGAAAAAAATACCATCAACTAGGTGGAATGACATAGTGACTGCTACAATGGGCTCTTGTGTATCAGTAAGTGTGAGGATGGTGCCGGATGTAATAGGTTTCAAATCTTTTGCTCATAGGGTCACTATGAGTCATACTCAGCTTGACGGTACTTAATAACAACAACACTGTATTTAAAACTTATATATATACCACATTGTTGTTATTGTTAGGTGCTGTATTAATACCACAATAAATACCATACTGTAGTCTCTTAAAGGTGTTCTGGTGACACGTAAAATATCAAGCTGCTAACCAGGAGATCATTGTTTTAATCTCCTAGCCAGTCTATAGAAGAAAGATGGACAGTCTTCTCCTGCAAAGATTGGCAACCATGAAAACCAAGTAGTGGCTCTTTATGAGTCAGGACTGACTTTATGGCTGTTAGTTTGGATAGTACATTAAGGTAACTATGCAAGATCATTACAGTAAAACTGAGAGAATATTAGTGCAACATCGCCATGGAGTAAGTATTGATATGGGGAAATGGAACTGATAGACTTCTTTAATACAGAGATGCCCCAAACTTTTAGTTTGTAAAAAGGTGGTATCAGTAAAGCACAATATGGTACTATTGTGAGCCGCTTCTATTAACTGAAACAAAGCAAGATAAAAATAGAGTGGAAAAAGAAAGGCAATTAATTTGGAATTGGGTTAGACAATCTTTAGTAATCTTGAAGGTTGTAAGGAATTCTGGTGGCCTAGTTCATTCATAGTGCCTCTCTGACAGTTTCAATTCACCAGCAGCTCCAAGAGAGAAAGGTGGATAATCTACGTTCCTATAATTTACCACTTTGAAAACCCAGTGAAGTATCAGCTATGAGTCAGAACCAATGACTCTACAGCAACGTGTGTGTGTGTGTGTATGTGTTGAGAGACAAAGCAGTAGAAGCCAGGACCAAATTAAAGTCAGATTATGACAGAGAATTAAGGAGACTTAGATAGCAAATAAAGATGAGTATCTCACTGCAGAGAGCATTATGCTGAGAAAATTAACTCAGTCTCATAAGAACAAGTACTGCATAAGACCATTATTGTAAAAATAGAAGGATAACTAGTAAAAGATGTCAAGGGGTGAAGAAGTGGGAGTAGAGCGGTAAGGATGAGTGGGGCAAAACTATAAGGTTCCACAGTTTGGTGGGTGGCGAGAGTGGGAACGGAAATGGGAAGGATCTGGGTGAAGTGATGGGCAAGGTCCAATGGTGATTAATTTTATAAAACATAGCATATTAGAATGTATGAAACACAATGTGAATGAAGAATAGTGTGTGAAACATAATGTATACAAATTTTGTAAGCAAACCAATAAAAAAATTTAAAATACTAGTCTCAAAAAATTTGGCAATCAAAGGAAGAAGTAATTAGACTATTTCAAGAGTTAGTCGAATAGAGGAAAGATATCTTGAGAGATCTGAATTATCTCTGCATAAAGGTAACATTTTTATGGTGTATCCTAGCTTACAAAGTGTTTTAAATTTATCTTAACTGACTCACTATAAAATTGAAAGATGAGCAGGAACAGTGGTATTTTAAGATCAGAAATTGGGATTCAAGTAAGTCAAATAATTCACTGAATTTCCCAAAATCAGAAAGTGGAAAAACAGGAATTAGAACTTGAATCTCCAATGAGAGAGAGAGAGAAAGAAAGAGATATTAAAGTTTAGAAAAAGAATGGATATAATTAATAAAGATCCAGAGGAGGTAGGAGGGGGATGAAGTAAAATTTTTAAAGCACACGTGGATTTGTCACCTGATGAAAAGAATTGTAATATTTATTCTTCTGAGAGAAAAGGGGACAATATATAGTTAGATGTAGTGAAAGGGCATGATTATTGCAACAGACTACTACAAAGAAACAGTTAAGGCTTAAAACCTCCATTTCAGAGAGAAATAACTGCACGTAAAGCTACACATCTCAACTACCAATTCAGAAAGAAGTCAGCATATATTATGCATATTACACAAGCCATATTACACTCAGTTTTAATTATTGTAAATAATACCTAAAAGGAAAATCTTTGGCTGAAAGGAAACTAGTAAGTGAAGAATTGGAAGGGACTAGAGTGAAGATTGTTGTTGTCATCATGTACCATCAAGTGGAACCACCCAAAGCTGACCCTCCAGTGGTTTTTCAGAGGCAGTTACTCACACGGGAGGAGACAGCTCATCTTTCTCCCACGGAGAATGATGGATTTGAACTGTGTGCCCTCAAGATTGCAGTGAAGCTTTTTACCACTAGGCCACCATATTGACTATGTGCTGCCTTCTCAAAACTAAGTAAAAATAGAGCTCCGTAAGTGGGGGTGGTGAGGGAGGATACTAAAATATTTCAGGAAATACCATATGATCAAGAGCTAATGGTAAGGAGGAAAGTTCAAGCTACAGTGAAGGCACTAACAAAAAAAAAAAAATAAGGCTCCAGGAATCAATGTCATACCAATTGACATGTTTCACATGACAGATAAAGCTGCCTTCATCATGCTCAGTAGATTATGCCAAGAAATCCATAAGGAAGAGATCCATATTTGTTTCTATTCCCAAGAAAAGCAATCCAACAGAATATGGAAACTATATTTGTCATTAATATCACATGCAAGCTAAATGTTACTGAAGAGCATTTAAAAAAGGGGTGCAACAATGAATGAATGAATGGAATCCCAAAATCTCTGTAGATGTTCATTGAAATGAAAAATAAACAACCTAAATTAAAAAAAATAAATAAAGTGACAAGTTTGTATTTAAAAAAAAACTAGAAGAGTAAATAGAGAACTATGATGAGTTCAAGCAGGATTTAGAAAAGGCTGTGACACCAGGGATATCATTGTTGATGTTAGATTGATCTTGGTTGAAAGCAAAGAATACCAGAAGAGTGTCTATTTGTGCTTTATTGACTATGCAAAGGCATTTGACTATGTGGATAATAATTATCACTAACATTGAGAAGAATGGGAATTCCAGAACAATTACTTGTGCTCATGTAAAAGCAATACCTAGAGCAAGAAGTTGTTTTGTAAACAGAGCAAGGGAACATTATATGATTGAAAACTAACAAAGGCACGGATCAGGGTTGGATCCTTTCACAATACATAGTCAGTTGGTATGCTGAGCATAATATTTAAGAAGCTGGACTCTCTGAAGAAAAATGTGGCATCAAGATTGGAGGAATACTCATCAATAACCCCTGTAATGCAGAGGACACAACTTTGCTTGTCCTTAGTGAGGAGGACTTAAAATGCTTGTTACAGAAGATCAAACACAACAAGTTTCAATATGGG